TTGTTTGAGATGCTCTTTATGACTCGCCAAGTATCTGATCTGTATAGAAGCACTGAGTTGAAAATCCGGATCTTATTTTTGATGCTGAGTGCCGTTGACCTCCAAACAAACTTGAGAGTAAGGAAAGCTTGTCTTGCTTTCCCGATCCTCGCTGCTTTGATATCCTCGTCAGTTCCGTCGGCCTGTGGTTGAAACGATGCTTCCCAGGTAGGTAATGGAAGTAGCAGTAGTAATTATTTTTACGGGATAGGGTTGCTAGCCTCAAGCCCAAACCTTACTTCTTTATCAATCTTATTACTGGCTTAGAGAGGTAAAGGAGTGCGTCGCTGGCCAGGGATCGAACCCCAAACCACGTACGTAGTCGGCGAGCATTTCTACCACTGTGCCGCAGACGCCACTAAAACATAATTGTTATTAAACAAAAGGAAAGAAGTGTATTTTAAAAAAATATATGTACAGTGGAAAAATGTATATACCACACACATAATCATTAATATTGCGACTACTTGTCTGTAATAAAACAAAATAAAACGCACACGTAGGCTGAATACCAAAATACACAAATGACCAATCATTTTAGCAATAAAAGCCTGCTAATATGACAGAAGCTGAAATTAATATATTTTTCTCAACATAATTGAATGTATGAGCTGACTTGGCACACACATCCACACCCACACGATGGTTTGAAGAAGTACGTATATATATATATATATAATATGAGCACACTTGTTGCCACATTTACAAGTGTATCATATGTATGTGTGCCTTATTTATCGATTGAACAGCCCGCGTTTTATTAAAGCACACAAATCATGTGTGTAGGTACTAGACACCAGAGCAGAAAAACTCACTCATCCAACATGCATCACGTGGGAACGAAGAAAAACCAATGCCACACATATACGCGCACGCACACACACACACATAAAAATATGCGTACATCCACACAATCTATTCGTCAGAATAGGTGCTGATTTTGCCATGAAAAGATGAGAGAGAGAGAGAGAAAATAATAATTAATCAATTTGGACAGAGTTGAAAATCAATACTTGCTGATCAGAGTAATATATATCATCTGTATGCTGGAAAATGAAAGCAAAGGATTGAGAAATAGTTACTTTTAAGGTGGAATTATAAAGTTGAATGATCAATGATGATGATCATAATCGATAAATAGTGAAAAATCATGTCAATTTACAATGACTGAAAAACAGACAGACAACATTATAAGACATGTCATTCATATTACATTGATACAATTCATAAGTTGCTTATGCATCATAAAGTCTGCACAACAAGTACAAAAGTTAAAAAAAAAGAGGTGGAATAAAGGGAATGGGAAAAATATAAACAAAAATCACAGGATGCTATATAACGAAAAAAAATCCAGTAGATAAGTGAGATAGAATTGCTACCACTAAGACAAAGCATGAATACAACTGCACCAGTGTGATCGATTACAAACCATGTCAACTAAAATTCCTAATCACATGTTTCATTGTTTATACGTGGATTTTAGTCAGGAAACTACACTTGTTTATATGACTCAGACCACAAGTGATTCGGTTTATGTTTGTTTGAATATGGTCACTCCTAATTGGATCCATAACTGAGCAACAGTCTCTGACATGAATATAGGATAGAAACAATTGTTTGTCTGAAAATGTATTGTGAACTATAAACTAACATCGGTTAGGACACCATCTACGATAGGATCCTTACTATTTGGCCCAGTCCACCTACATTCTTTACATCTGAATGCTTATTTGAGACTATACATTTTGATAGAACATGTTTGTTTCAACCATCCCATCTAAAGCCAGTGTTGTAGTATGCTTATCCTGTGACTAAATTGTACTGATGTGGAAAGTACGCTACGACAACTGCTTTCAGTTACACTGATATCCAGGTGATATCACTGGTATGACAGGACCACCATGAACCAGCCAGCATGGCTGGTTACGTCACTGTGACATGCAAGTACAACCACCACATGAATCGTGAATACCTAATTCTTACCAATGAACATCCAAACCTCAGGAGTGTTCAACAATTTATAGGACATGATTATATGCAAAAAGTTTTGAACTTTAGAATAAAAACAAGTGATTCACTGAAGAGAATCTTATCAACGAACTTATTATCAAGCTGCACAATCGGATATATATATATATATATATATATATATATATACCATTCAGCCACTGAGACCCGATTCAATGGCCCATGAATTCTAACTTCTACCAATTCGTGATTTAGCGCGGCCACCAACCAATGTCATCGATGGGGAATTCAGTGAGGTCTAATCAGTCAAATGTGAGGATGGATTTCTCACCGATGACACTGGTTGGTGGCCACACTAAAACACGAATTGGTAGAAGCCAGAATTCATGGGTCATTGAATCGGATCCTTGTGGCTGAATGGTATCCGAGCCAGCTTACCTTGTAACCAGAAGATCCTGGGTTCTCGAACCTCAGTGGGTGAGTACTGCCAATGTTTCCCCAACTAGGATGAAACAGCAGCTGTCCAGTACTCCAGTGCTGGTTTTCAAAGCTTCTCTAACTGATATCAATCCGTGATCAACTCGTAAAAACAAATCTAATCCTTACAAACCAACTCGTGAAATATATATATATATATATATATATATATGTATATATATATATATATATCGACCATTACTGTTCAATAACCTGAAGGACAAGATATTGCAGATGACTACCTCTATGTATGTTTACCAGTTCACTTGCTCTTATGACTATCGGTAGTTCGAACGGCGGTTTGGGCAAGAACATTATCCTGTACTGTTAAGATGAGATGGAAGTGAAGCTATAAGAAGTGCGGTAATTATAAGTCACTTGTTTTGCTGATTGCTGTTTAACTATGATTGTAATTACAAGATATTTTGTGGTAACCAATCAATATTATCTTAAAAATCCATGTATTTACAATTTTGCGATTTGATATAATAAATTTGCTGGGAATAGTGACTTAAATGAATCATTTTTTTTGTATTATTTGCAAAATTATTGTCAAAAATAGCAGCGTATATTCAGAAAATCAGGATACGACAGTTTAAAACTGTTTAGCTGTGTAAACCACATCTTTCGAAGAAATACTGTCGATTATTTTTGTTGATAAAGTTACAGTTTACACGGTGAGACTCATAACAAGTGATGCTCATATTTCCAAAATAACTTTAAAACATTCCGATGAAACTTAGCGTAGAAGCTTTTCAAAGGTGATAGTAAAACTTGTAGATTTTGGAAATGACGTAGAAACAAGTTTCGACTCTCAATAAGTAGCTTGAATTATGACAAAAAAAAATGCATAATTTTCAAAAGAGACTTCCTCATTCTGTTTAGTATAACAGCAGGTTACTCTCAACACGCAGCTTTATGAGGAGTGAGATAACTTGAACCCATTTTCGATACTGGTTACCTTATCTCCAACAAATTCCTCCTTCAAAGTAATCTGACTAAATGACTGAGTTTTCAACGTTGAACTTTGCATACAAGTGCACCAGTTCATTTCGCCACTCTCTAGGTACCACCCATAAAGGAGGATAAAATCGATTTTAAAAAAACGATAATAAGTAGAAATGTGTCGGAGAAAGAATAGTAATATGCAGAAAACACGACAGTTTAGTGGATCTGGAAGACCACAAAGAGTGAATGCATTTGTTCCACCAAGAACAATGTCGAGCCATATCACACTTACAGTCTCCAGTCATAGGTTATTACCATCCACAGAACCCCCAGAGAGACAGTCTACAACTCCCTGCATGTCTTAAACTAACTATCAAAGATTTCATGAATTAATGCCACGTTATGGTTTGACCACCAACTAGCTTCTTTTTCAAACTGACCTTACGTCATCCAATAATATCTCGTCGAGGAATGCGATGGCTAGGCGTGAGCAACACGTACCCTAGCCCTCTTCAAAGTAAGTGAAGAACAAACTACCAAAGACAAAACCCTTTAGCTTCCCTCTGCATTGCTGAAGCTCCAGGCATCCAGATAGAGAAAACAGATTTCTGAATGCAAAAAGAAAGAACTCTTCAACCACTCCTCTTATTTAATCAATTCTTTTTTGTTTGTTTTTTAACTCTATAACTCCTGCATTTCTCCAAAACTCTTTCATAGTATCATATCCCTCTTTGTTTCCATGTGCATTTATTAAATTATGTATGCCATCGAGTACATTTAAAACTCCTATTCAACTGCCCACAGGTATTGATTAATGTAGGCAACAATACTAATGACAGTTCACCTCTCTAATAAATAAATAATGTGCACCAGTTCAAGTCGCCACACTCCCTCCTTGTAGCACACAAAGTTAGAGAAGAAATGCATAATAGAGGCAGTAAACAGAGGTGGGAGTCAAAGGAATAGCAATAACGAAGAACAATATAGTTTCATTTGAAGTCATAAGTCACAAGGAGTGGATGCATCCGCACCAGTTATTGAGAACGATGAGTTTGAGCCATAACACCAATTGTTTCCAGCCTCCATTGGTTACTACCGTCCAAAGGACCCCAACCAGGAAGGAAGTCTACACCTTCCTACGTGGCTGGCTGGCTGGCTTAAACTAACTGTTGTAGATTTCATTGACTGGTGAAGCCATGTTTTGGTTTCACCGCCACTAGCTAGCTCTTTTTCAGCCTGACCGACCCTATGTCAGCTAACATTGCCCGTCGAGTCGAGGAAGGCGATGACTAGGCAGTTGTACAGCTTAAAGAGATGGATTTGCCGAAAAGTCTCCCCACTGAACTACTTGTTCCATTTTTTTCACTAACAGTATTTGTCAATTAATTCATCCAATGCTCCCAAGCGAGTTCACTTCTTTTTTAACCAATATAGGGAGAAGCAACGGGAAATCCTGAAGGACACACAAGCATCAGTCATGAAATAATCCTTATGTTTAATATACACATGATGCGGAACACAAAAATATTTATAAAAAGATAAATAGTATTCAAGAAAGTTTAGCTTACCTGTTGAACAGTACCATTGATTTCCACAGGAACAATAAAATCAGCATTTTCAACATACTGGAATGAAAAAATATAGTTTGATGAGTATGCTGACATTTAAAAGAAGACTTCATCAAAAAAACTCAAAAAAGATGACAAAGAAAATAATGAACAGACAGAGAAAAGAACACTTGTAATTAACCTCCTTAGGGGTGAGATCAGGATTCTACTCTGGAAATAGCATTTAGCTACTTTGTTAAGATTAACAGTTTCTCCACCAGTTCTGTTATCACGAGAAAAGTTTATACTGCTGATTCCGGCATAGTTTGGCAGTGACATTAAAATGACGTCGTTGTCTTTTCTTCTACATCATCCAGTGAAATGGTAGTTCCAGAGATTTAAGACATGTAGAGTCCCATATCTCACTAATTTAGTGGGATATTGACATAACGTATGAAAACTCATAAGAGTGCGTAACCTGCCTAATCATCACTGACTAAAACTGAGTTTCTACATAGAACTTTGCACAGAGGTGTAACAAGTTGCCACACTCCATATAGCTCACAAAGTCAGAGAAAAGAAAAAAGGAATTCGAAAGAGCTATAGTGAGCAGAAATATACAAGAGTAATAAAAATGATAAGACATGAGAATTTTATGCATTTATTCCCCTTGATGAATTTGAATAAAGCAAGAACAACAGTGTGGTTTGTGCAGAATAATATGGTACCATCATTTATTTCGTTGGCTTCTCATCATCTGCTTACAGCCTAAATAAATTATGAGGTTTACGCACAAAAAAGTTTTAACATACTTGCACATTTCACATGATGTCAGTTGACAGAAGGTTCCACAATTAGTGAACAGTGTTCAGAAAATTGCACTTATATAGTTTTTACACAGGCAGTCCAAGTTTAAACAAAATAAATATATGTATACAATGGTAAAAGAGTTACGTAGTAGAGGCGAGAGATGCATAATATGCAGAGTGACTAATAAATTAGGTAACAATGTACTGAGTTCAACTCAAATCATTTCACCAACGTCATATTCCATAATCCTCTCTGAAGAACATCAAAATGCATCGAAAGCTCTCAGAAATAATGATAAAGTCATCATAATGCGACCTGACGAAAGTTCAGGAGTGGTGCTGATGGACTGAGATGAGTACATCGCAAAGATGAAAACTGTGCTGAATGACCCACTGAGGTTTAAAGCCGACGGCTGTCAGTAAGACAAGACAGATGCAGCTGAAAAATTCATCACAAACGTACTGAGTGATCTTCTAAAGGAGAAATTGATTGACAACACGTACAATGAATTGAAACTCCGAGGGTCCAGTTTGCCACAAATGTATGGTCTTCCAAAGACAAATAAAAAAGAAATCCCTCTGAGACCTATACTTTCGATGATCAACTCGCCCCCTGGCTTGAGGAGAAGTTGGAACCCATTCACCGACGGCTGGCCGTGCACACCATAAAAGACTCATTTCATTTCGTCGAAAGTGTGAATCACATGAACGTTTCGAATACGTTCATAGCATCATTTGATGCAACCTTCTTGTTCACAATGATTTCAATCAATGAAACCATTGACATCATTTGTCAACAGTCTGATCTTCTCTCACTCCCAGAGTCAGAATTCAAACGCCTACTGCTAATGTGTACCATGGGTGTACAATTCCAGTTTGACAACACTCTGTACTGACAAACAGATGATGTAGCTATGGGTAGTCCACTTAGCCCTGTTTCAGCAGATATCTTCATGTCAAACCTTGAGAAAACAAAGTTGAAGCATGCAACTGACGAAACAAGTTCCTTTTGTCAATATGTCGATGACACATTTGTAGTGTGCAACAACGAAAGTCATCTGTCTGTCTGTCTATCATACTTCCTACCCACTCAGACTATTCAACAACGCACATAAAAATATTGTATTTACTATGGAACATGAAAATGATGGAAAGTTCCGTTTCCTTGACGTCGCCATGCAACGCCTAGAAGATGGTAATCTCCAGAGGTCAATTTACCGAAAGCTGACAACACTTGTATTTTAATAGTTTTCGTCCAAATAGCTATAAATGAGCACTAGTCAAGACTCTGTACTAGACAGCGAGGAGAATATGCTCTGCAGAGAAACTAGAGGAAGAATTTAAGATTCTCGAAAAGATGATGAAAAACAACGGTTATCCTCAAAGATTCATTAACAAATATGGAAGATGTAAAGGCTCAAACATCAAACAAATCACAGTTGAAAAAAGCCTGTCTTCATTCAACTAGATTTTAAGGGTAAAGACATTGCAGAAATGGTCAACAGAAGACTGAGTTCGTCACTAGCCAGAGCCTATCCTACAACTAAGTTGGTTCCAGTCCATCGAACAACATGCTCTTTGGTGCAGTCAAAAGTTGACAGATACCCTTCTCATGTTAACAACTCCAACTGTGTATACAAATTTACGTGTACCTGCGGGAGCAGTTACATTGCGAGAACAGAAAGAAGGGCACACCTTCAATATTCTGAACAAGTGCCGAAAAGCCTACGCCACAAAGAAATAAGCTTTAATAATAGCGCTATTACCAGACATCTCCTAGATACGGGTCATGAGGTGGGAATCACGAAATCCTTTAAAATTATCAATAGACAAAGGAGCTCGATTCTCCTCAAGTTTGCCGAAGCAATTTCGATCAAACGCTCGAAACCCGATTTATGTGTTCAGAAAAAAGCAGTTATTAGTCTTTCCTTGCTCTGGTAACGGGATGTCTTTATTCTCTCATTTGATTACGTAATCTTCTGCTTTAACCTCACCCCGTTTTATAATTTGTAATTTTGCTTGTCTTTTGTTTCCATGATTTGAGTTGAACTCAGTACATTGTTACCTAATTTATTAGTCACTCTGCATATTATGCATCTCTCGCCTCTACTACGTAACTCTTTTACCATTGTATACATATATTTATTTTGTTTAAACTTGGACTGCCTGTGTAAAAACTATATAAGTGCAATTTTCTGAACACTGTTCACTAATTGTGGAACCTTCTGTCAACTGACATCATGTGAAATGTGCAAGTTTGTTAAAGTGTTTCTGTACATAAACCTCATAACTTATTTAGTCTGTAAGCAGCAGCTGATGAGAACTCGAACTGCTGCACTTCGGTGCCAAGTTCTATGTTGAATCCAGACAGACATATGAGAAGCCGACGAAATAAATGATGGTACCATATTATTCTGCACAAACCACATGAGGACTTATTGAATGGAACCGGAAGATCACGAAGAGTTAATGCAATTGTGCCACTTAGAACGCTCATGAGACATATCACAGACAGCCTTAAAGCTTTGGTTGTTATTGGTATACCGAAGACCTAAACCAGGCAGTATACACGTTCCTACATGGCTCAAACCAACATTCAAGGACTTCATTGATTGATGTCATGCTTTAGTTTGACTACTCCCAGCTAACTCTTTCAACTTAATACTGTGCTAGCTAACATTACTGGATGAGGAAGACGAATGTCTTAGACGTCTAAGTTGATCCAGTTTCACAGCCTTACTTACTTACAACTACGGCTAATCTCATTATCACTTATCACTAAAAGCAGACAAATCGTCGAAAACCATTATTCCTCTCATAACTTGTACGTTCAGTGGTCATGTCTAAAATGTTTATCAAAAGATTTCGATCAAAGAAAAGTCAATTCTAAAGGGCTGATTGACTGTAAGTTGAAAATGCACAAAATCGTTGCATTCGTATTGTGAAAGCGTTAGGAATATTACACCGGATTAGTGTCATAACCCACCTCAATTATAAGCTCTAAGTTGAAAATATTCATCCATCTAATTGAAGTTTGAAGCTCAGATATATAGAATTCAGTAGTTTTCATCGTGCGTCGGTGGCACAGTGGTTAGGACGCTCCCCGACCATGCACGTGGTCCGGGGTTCGATTCCCGGCCGACGCACTCCTTTACCTCGCTAAGCCAGTAGTGAGACTAGTAAAGGGGGAAGGTTGGGCATGAGGCTATCGACCCCATCCTGTTAAAATTAACACCGCTACAGAAACTTCAAGCCTCTAGTTTGGAGTCCTATGTTCCACTGGGAACGTGAAGGAAAACAATCGTGTCTAAAAAATGAACAGATTATGAATCTTTTTAAATTGAAGAAAGAGTCGAGGCATGTATTACTTGCACTCATTGCATAGAGGTTTAATCCCCAAGTTAGGTGAATACAGAATTTGTCTTCAGAAGTAAGGCCACAAGAAAGTCGAAAGTCGATACTTCTAGCTAATAACATACATGATGATAGCCTGGAAATTCAATGTGGGCTAAAATTCACAAACTGATAAGTTTGACCAAATAATTATAGACAGTGGTGGTAAATATGCATCCATAAAGCCTACTAATAAACAACTTCTTGTCTGTCTGTCTGTTTTCGACTTAGAACTTTGCACCGATGTGCACCAGTTCAAGTCGCCACACTCCCTCCTCCTTGTAGCACACAAACCAACAGAAGAAAGTAGAAGAAACGCTAAACAGACACAGTAAAGAGAGATATGAGGCAAAAAAATAGTAATATCGAAGAACAATATAGTTTCACTGGAAATCATAAGTCACAAGGGGTGGATGCATCTGCGCCAGCCATTGACAACGATTTTGAGCTAGCCATATCACCAATTGTTTCCAGCCCGTTATTGGTTTTTACTGTCCCAAGGACCCCAACCTTCCTACGTGCCTGGCTGGCTTAAACTAACTGCTGTGGATTTCATTGATTGATGAAGTCACGTTTTGGTTTGACCACCGCTAGCTGTTTTCCAGCCTGACCCTATCTCAGCTAGCATTACCCATTGTCGAGGAAGGCGATGACTAGGCGTGCATGCGTAACACATGTCCTAACCACCTCAGTCGATGTAATTTCATAGCCTCGTCGATTGATTTCCCCTCCATACCTAACACTCGAAATAAACAACTTCTTAACCATAAAGGCGGAATAACAGTTAAATAAATATTCTGCATGAGATATAATCAATTTTTCTTAGAGAAGATATTAAAGTTAATAATAATTAGTAATAACAATAGACCAACTCAT